TTGGATACAACTTAACATTCATTGTGAGGGAATAATAAAATTAAATGTATCTGCACAGTCTTTGTATTTTAAAAATATGGATGCTTGCCCTAGATGGTTTGAAGGGTACCGGGTTCAACTTCAGTCAAGGGCATATACCTTGGTTGCAGGCTCAATCCTTGGCCCCAGGTGGGGGTGTGTGTGGGAGGCAACCAATTGATGTGACAGCAATGTTTCTCTCAGTCTCTTTCCCTTCCTTCCACTACCTCTAAAAATAAAAAATAAATTTAAAAAATAAAAATTAAATTGGCACGTATTTATTTTTCAATGTGTTACATTTTTCTAGTGTTTTTTTTAACCTCGTTTATTTTTCAATGTGTTACATTTTTCTAGTGTTTTTTCTTTTAACCTCATTGAATATTTCCTTGTACTCACAGGCTTTGTTCATATTTTTGTTATTGTACAATGCCTGATGCTTTCTGACAACATTAGAAAAAAGGAAAAAGGATTTATATTGATCAATATTCACTCTTAATACACATCCCTCTGACTTTCCAACCTAGATGAGGAGAAAAATATCCTTATTTCTCATTTCACAGCAGTGGCAGTTACATTCAACTACACAATCTTGTCACCCACTGCTTCCCATTTCCCTCAGGGTCCACTTAAAAGGATAGCAAGACAGAACCTCACTGCTGCAGCATACTTGAGTATATCTGCTGTGATTAGGAGACATTAATGGGGTGCATGATTCCACCTGTGAGCATTACCTGTATGGTAACCTCTGTACTGTGATGTTCTCCTTTTAAAGTTCTTCAGTTGTTCCAAGCTAACTTCTGTGTAAAGGTGGCCGGGGCGGGGGTTGGGGTTCAGGGCTGTAGTTGAACAGGTGTAGGTGGGTTAACTTTATGAGTGGCTTCTAGAGGTTGATTATTGTTAACCAAGTGGCCCAGCCAAGGTAAGTTTGTGCTTACTGTGCCTTTTCTGGCATTTTGGTATTTCCATCTTTATTTCCTTCCCTAAGTCTTTAAATAGTTGAAAATCTTCAATAATGGAAGCTAAATACAAATAAATACCTTTTAACAATCTTTGAATGACCCCTGGGTGCTTTTTATAGGCTCTCACTTACTTACCTTTCAGCCCAACTCCCCAAATACTTGGACTACAGCTGCTGTTTTTCTTTGCTCACTATCCCTTTCTAATTTGAAATATGTCTTCTGCTTCTGTCAGTCTTCTCTAGCAGCCTTCTTCTAAAGTCAAAAATAACTTCCATACAAATAAACTTGTCTTAATGCTTCTTTTCTGTGGAGGTATTTGAAGCAGAACAGTTTTGGGAGTGGGGCAAATTGACTATGTTTTTCTCATTTCTCAAAACTACTTATAATGGGGAGTTTCCCACATATGTGTTTGTAGGTAGGATAGTCATCCTGCTAAAGAAATTAATTTTGTTGCCTTTGATTAATTTACATTTGTTTTGCCCTGTAATAGCTGGCATGAAGGCTAAGCTGCTGTAACAGAGATGTTCATATACAGTGGCCTGAACAAGCTGGAACATTACCTCTTACTCAGTGGTCTGGCCCATCTGAACTGGTTATGCAGTTGTGTACCATGAGTTATTCAGGTCTCAGGTTCAGCCATTACCTAGTCTTACTTGAGTGGTCAGCTGGGTCACACTACATCTGCATTTCTACTTGCTGGAAGAGGAAAGAACCAAAGTCCAGGGCAAGCAGAATGTCTTATGTTAAAGGTGACTAGAAAAATCACTTTCACTTCCATTCTGTTGACCTGAATTGAGCATCATAGTCAGAATCTACTAGAAATACTCAAAAATGTCATGTACTCAGGAAGAGGGGGAAAAGCAATATTCAGGACTATTAGCTTATGCCATAGGTACAGTATTTCTAGGACAGTTTGATATTATATCCTTTTTTCCTCAAAACTTGGGACCAAGGTATATCCTTTTATAAGGGAAGCACCTATTTTTTAATATGTTTTGATTTCAGAGAGGAAGGGAGAAGGAAGAGTGAGCTAGGAACATCAATGATGAGAGAATCATTGACTGCTTCCTGCCCCCCACCCGCCACGGGGGATTGAGCCCACAACCTGGACATGTGCCCTGACTGGGAATCGAACCGTGACCTCCTGGTTCCTAGGTCGATGCTCAACCACTGAGCCATGCCAGCCGAGTGGAAGAACCTCGTAGAGATGTTAACCAGCTTTACCAAATTCACCCATCTAGTATGAAAACCCATCTAGTATAAAATCTAATTTGAAATTCAAAGTGCTGTTTTACTTATAAAATAGCCTATTTAAAACAAACTTCAGCAAAGCAGATTTATCATTATTCAAAGCAAGTTGGTATACCTATAACTTAATTTAGGATGATTACCATTGTATACAGTTTTTTCAAAATTATCTTTCAGCTCATTAATATTTTCATTAGCTTTCTCTGCATTTGCATCTATTGAGCATTATATTTCTTATATTTTCAGTTCTATTTGGCTCATTTTTATAGATTCCAGTTCTCTGGTGTAATTCTTGTCATCAATTTTTGAACATTTTAATCACCATTACGTTGAAGTCTTTATAAAACAGCTATAGTATCTGGGTTACCTCTGGGTTTCTATTGTCTCTTTCTTGGTATGGCTAATAAATTTTGTCTGAATGCTGGACATTGTTCATTAAAACTTGTTGTAGATGGCCTAGATCTTCCTCTAGAGAGGATTCCAGAAGGTGTTCTGGCAGGCAGCAGAGGGTAAGGTCACCTCATTTGAATATAAACTGAGTGAATTCATATTCTTTGTAAGACTACATCTTCCCCCCCCCCCCCCCCCCCCCCCATTTCCTAAAAAGTAATTTTTGAAAGGTACCACTGACAGCCAGGTGTTTCTCTTCTTTTGAGCTTTGCTTTGCTTTTACCCACTTTATGCCTAGAAAATTAGCCTCTTGCTCTGAGCATCTTACTGAGCAAAATATCTTGAGTGTCATATCAGGCTTTCTTCTCTGTCCCTTTCTGGGGTCTTGGACTCACAATTCCTGGCTGCCTTGCCAGCTCAAACACTATTCTTTTGTCTTCCCAGTTTTGTGTGATTGCCTTAAACTCTTCTGGCATCCTTCCCTTCCTTGTCCTCTCTTTGACTTCTCAGCCCCTTTGCACCAATAATCAGCAAAAGTATGGAATTCTTATCTGTCTTAGCAGCTCTCTGATGCCTTCTAGTTTGTGTGTGTGTGTGTGTGTGTGTGTGTTTGAGAGAGATAGGAAGAGTTTAAAATCTGCTTTTCTAATTCTCAATATAAGCAGAGCCATAAGCTACATAAAGCTGGAGGCAGAAGTCTCTATGTCTTTTTTAAACAGTGCAATATAATTAAGATAATCATTGTCATATCAATTTAGATCACAGATTTTCAACTGGTGTGCTGCAAGAATTCTTAAAACATTGATACCTGACCTCTCCTTAGATTGTAAAAAAAATAAAATAAAATAAAAAAGACAATAGGCAACACAGTAACCATCCAGTGTGAATGAATTAAAATTATACCTATTTTGCCCAGCTGGTTTGGGTCAGTGGTTGAATGTCGACCTATGAACCAGGAGATCATGGTTTGATTCCCGGTCAGGGCACATGCCCAGGTTGCGGGCTCGATCTCCAGAAGGGGCCATGCAAGAGGCAGCCAATCAATATTCTCTCTCATCATTGATGTTTCTATCTTGCCCTCTCTGAAATCAATAAAAGATATTTAAAAAATTATACCTATGTTTTGTCAGATCAGCAAAAAAAAATATTTTTTTGGTGTGTTGCAGAATTTTAGTAGTTTATGTGTGCCATAAGATGAAAAAGATTGAAAATCACTGCTTTAGATGATTTAAGAATTCTGCCTCTTAGGAAATCCATCAATGAGGTTTCATAACCTTTAAAATAGATCCTTGAAAAAGGTGATTTTTATTCACTAAATGAGTCTTCATTCTTGTTTTTAAAAGAGCCATAAAGAGAGAATGCCCTCTGCCTAGAATTAACTGCCTATGAATAAGTTTAAATTGTTTAGGAATTTGCAGTTTCCAGAATGTTTTTCAGCTATTACACTCATCCAACAAATATATTGTGTGTTATTTATAATCCTGTTTTATAGATGAGGAAGCCAAGAAACACATTACAATAATGCCTAAAAATCACAAGCTGATTATTGACAGGAATAACTAAAATTGGGCTCCCAGACCACTAGTCCTGTCCTATATATTAACTTGACCTCAATTCAACTTTGTATACATTATGGTATGTAAAGTATTTCTTAGGACCTGCATTTACACTCCTGAGTTTATTGAACTTTACAACATTGGTTTTGTTACCCATAATAACTTACTATTAAGGGTATTTTCATTAAGACTAGAACTGCCATATGATGAAATAAATCAGATGGAAGAGGACAAAAATGTATTTCACTTATGTGGAATATAAAACAAAAAGTAACAAATGAGCCCTAACCAGTTTGGCTCAATGGATAGAGCGTCGGCCTGCGGACTCAAGGGTCCCAGGTTCGATTCCAGTCAAGGGCACGTACCTTGGTTGCGGGCACATACCCAGTAGGGAGTGTGCAGGAGGCAGCTGATCGATGTTTCTCTCTCATTGATGTTTCTAACTCTCTATTCCCTCTCCCTCTCTGTAAAAAATCAATAAAATATATATTTTTAAAAAGTAACAAATGAACTAACAAACTCGTAGAGACAACAGAATGGTGGTTACCAGAGAGAAAAGGGGGTTGGGTGGGCAGAGCGAAGTGGGTAAAGGGGTCAAATATATGGTAACAGAAGGAAACAACTTCAGGTAGTGAGCATGCAATGGAGTGCAGAGATGTTGAATTATAATTTACACCTGAAAATTATTAACCAGTTATCCCAATTAATTTAATTTTAGAAATATGTTTTCAGTGAACAGGGATATTTAAGTGTACTCTTAAATGCTACTCCGCAAGCAAATGTGCAGGTGAACGGGTGGACACAACCCTTAGCCTTCCTATTCTGAGTAGGAAGGAATCCTGGTAATTTGATTCCTGCGTCCAGAGCACAACAGCACACATTCAAAAACATTCTGATGCTAAGAACGATGCTTGCACCCAGACAGGTGACATGAAAAATACGTAGCCTCGGTTTCTCAGAATGTCGTAACTGAAGTCTTAAATAACTTTTGGCATCAAATTAAAAGATGGATCGCTTCGCCCAAATAATCTTCAGTCACTTGCAAGAGTGATTTATATTCACCTATTTAACCTTAGCTGTATTCATGAGACACTTACATGGAATATTTCTACTGTTCTTCAGGCCCCTTATTCATGGGCGTTCCGACCTCATTGCTATATAACCAGAGGCTCTGAGCTGCAGCTGTCAGGATCCTAATCCCTTCTGCAAGGACTCGAGGAATTGCTGCCAGTGTGTACAGTAGCAAACTGCGTGCTCGCCTTTCAGGCACCATCAGAGGTCTCATCAGCAAAACAAAAGTTGTGGATGATTCTTTTTAACCTTCCAGAAATTCAGCTAACTCGTTTAGGTATGTCCAGACTTAACATTTAGTAAATGTTGACCTTCAGGCAGACACGTATAATAAAGAATGCTCTCTTTAATGGAAGAGAAACTAAACTGGGAACAAGATGTGTGACCACTCTTGCTATAGTTTAGCTATGTAACCTCAGGCATGTAATTTAACCTTTGGTTTTTCCTTATTTGTAAACTGTAGGGGAAATAATTTGTCTTCTAACTTACTGTAAAGAAAATGTGATGGCTATGAAAAATGTTTTGGGATCCTTGGAAGAAAGGAGTGCTAAAAAATTAATGATAGTATAGTGATTATTATGACTTAAAACTGAGATACAAGATCAAATCATTGCTTTCCAAAGTTGGAATAACAGTTCGTTTAAGCTAATTCACATGATATGCTCTATTTGAGAGGCATAAAATACTTTAATCTCTTCAGTTTTAAATATGTTTGCTGAGATGGTATGGATTCTTTAAATTAGAAGCTACTCAGAAGACCATTTGTCAGGAGGGCTATTTGACATTGGGTATGTGCTAATGACACATTGATGGGAACCATGTGAACTTTGAATTTATTACTATGTAGGAAGCTTTATTTTAGATGAATACTATGGTTTTTACTACACTGAATGAAACCAATTTTCTCCCAATGCTTTAATTACCTCTTTTAAGATTGCTATGTAACTAGTCAATATAAAGATGATGTCTTAACCAAAGGACTTGTATGCATACATATAAGCCAAACCAATGGATACAGACAACAGGGGGATGAGAGCATGAGGGGGTGGGGGAGGTTGAGGGTTAATGGGGGGATGAAGACACATTTGTAATAACTTGACCAATAAAGAAATTAAAGATAAAGATGATGTCTTTCTTGTGATAGCTGAGTTAGTCTCTGGTGAGGAATGTTTTATTTCTCCAGTTGCTTCTAAAATTTCTGACTTTGAAGCCTTTGTTTGAATTTTTTTATTTGTACTAGATAGATTGTGTTTCCATGGTATTCCTTAAAGCATGATTTATTAATATATGTGATTTTAATATGTTTCTGCTATATTTGAAGTTAAGCTTTATTATGTAAATATAAAAGCATTCAACACATTTTGAATTAATTGCTACTATTTGACATTTTAATGTATTATTTGCCTAGTTTTCAAGCAGTGATCAGGAAAATATCAATATATGGTCATCCATTAGTTCATCGCTTAATGGATCCAGAAGCTCAAAAAGGTAAATTATTTTATGTTTCTTTATGTAATTTGACTAATTGGAAGATGATAAACAACTAACAGAACACAAAACCTTACCTTTTCAGTGTTCATTAGTGTCTTAAATAGAGCTAGGACTTTTATCAATTACATATTATATCTTGGCTTGTGTTTGCTAACCTGTACATATCTCTAATAGTGTTCAGTGTTTACTGATATCCCTACAGTCCTGATGATATGTTAAAGGTAATTTTGAAGACAATAAATTAAATATATAGTCTTGCTAAATATCTATTTTTTTTTTAATCTGCAAAAATGGAATAATTCTTTTCCCAAGTGCTATACATGTGATTGTGATCTCTGAGTTACTTTATTTCAGATAAGAAGATTGTTAGGGAGATAAGAAGTCTTATGTAAAACTACATGTTTTTACTCATGCTTGGATGAAAGATGATTTTATACTATGAAAACATTTCTCACCTTTGTTTATGGTCCCTCTGATGTATTAGTTAAAGGCAAATTTATACAGAATGTAATTGACCTCTTGGTGAAAGGAGAATTTAAATTTGAATTCTACTACCAGTGTAGTTATTTGAAATGGACCCACCATTTTTACATCATCTTAAATAGTGTGGCTTTGCTGGATTATGTCATATAATTATCCCCATTATTTTGAGATAAAAAGTGCAGACATACACTCTTGCCATAGACTAGAAGAATTATTACCATGTTTTTGTAGTATACATTTTATTATTTTGGCTTCTTTCTCTATCTCCTTTATCTATACACTGTGGATGTTTTCTAAGAGCTATAGCCCTATTTTTTCCTTTTTTTAGGCATACCAGGTGGCCTTTACCTCGGTGAGCATGTTTCTAGGCCACGAGAGGAGGGTGTATGCCCAGTGTTGGCAGCCTATGTGGCTTAAACACTAATGGTTTTCCTGTAGTGGTTTTTGTAAATCTAAACATGTAAAGTTGTAATCACTTAGAGAATCCAGCCATTTAGGTGATTTGAATGAAGAAGCAATTTCTGTGCAGTTTATGAATACAATTACATCATTATCAACAGTGCTTGGTATCATCTGTGTGTTCCATAATTTGGCACATTATGAAGGAAACGAAAGAAGTTCAAGGTAAGGTTGAGACAGAACTAGTATTAAAATATTTTACAACATGAATAATAAAAAAATTCAAATCTTGCCACATTTGCCTTATTTTAAAATTATTCACTGCCTCTTTAATTTTTATAGGGTAAAATCAAGACTTAGCATGACATAAAGTGTTTTATTTCATGTTATTATCACGACTTACTATGGCCTCCTGGTTCATGGGTCAATGCTCAATCACTGAGCCACACCAGCAGGGCAATTATATTGCTATTTAAGAAACATATCAAACTATAGTTGGAAGCAATATGTTCAATATACCAGTTAGAGTACCATCACACATATAATTACTAAAGATTCATTCATCAACACATTTACGTGAAGTAAACTGAATAAATATATGCTAAATAAGACTAATAAATTTCCCACATATTGAATAAAAATAACTTAAATATAACAATCTGTATCCGATATCTTCCAAAGTAAGGTTTAAATGTCAAGTTTGAATGTCAATTGTTGCCCTTAGGGATGGTCTACTACTACTTCAAAAGCTCACAAATTCATACTTGACTCCTAGACCCAATGCTGCTCCTTAGTTCAGACTCTTTCCCATCTTTTGTCTAGATTATTGTATGTCTTCTAATGAGCTTCTAATTTAGCCTTCAGTTGCTGCTGCCAGAGGTAACTGTTTGTTTTTTGTTTTGTTTTGTTTTTTCTTATTTAAAAAATCTGCCCTTTATTTCTTTTTAAAAAATTTATCTTTATTGTTGAAAGTATTACAGATGTTCCCCCTTTGACTCCCTCCTCCCTACTTCCTCAACCTCCCCAGGCCTTCACAGCACCATTGTCTGTGTCCATGGGTTATGCATATATACATTGTAGAGGCCCGGTGCATGAATTTGTGCACAGTGGGGGTCCCTTGGCCTGGCCTGTGGGATCAGGCCAAAACCGGCTCTCTGACATCCCCCAAGGGGTCCCGGATTGTGAGAGGGTGCAGGCCAGGGAGGGACCGTGGGAGGTCTTTAGGGCATGTCCAGCTCGTCTTGCTCAGTCCTGATTGTCTGGAGCCCAGCAGCAAGCTAACCTACCGATTGAAGCGCCTGCTGGTTAGTGCACGTCATAGTGACTGGTTGACCAGTCGACTGTCTTCCCCCTGGTGGTCAGTGCACATCATAGTGAGTGGTTGAGTGGCTTTAGCATATCATTAGCATATTACACTTCGATTGGTTGAACAGCCGACCAGACACTTAGCATATTAGGCTTTTATTATATAGGATAAGTTCTTTGGTTAATCTTTCCCACCCCTTTCCTCTGAGAATCCTCAGTCTGTTACATGCTTCCTTGTCTCTGGATCTATTTTGTTTGTTCATTTCGTTTGTTCATTAGATTCCACATATAAGTGGGATCAGAGGTAAGTTTTTAAATATCAAATTTGATCATGTTATTTTTTGTTCTAATGATCTTTATTGACTCCACCTCACCATATAGAACAAAGGTCAGCATTGCCCACAGATCTGATCTCACCTGCTTTTTCAGGCTTATTTTCTATAACACCCCAACATGCATCCGCTCCCCAGATATATGATGACTCTCCAAGCCTGTTTCCAGCCTTGGTGGATGTTTCATCTTCCTTGACTTTACTTTTTTCCTTTTCTGCCTGGCAGCCTTCCTCATCCCTCCAACTTAGCTCAAATGTCTCCTTGAGAATGCTTCTCTAATCTGACCAACCAGTGATGTTTACCATAGCAATTTGGAAATATTTCTTTTATTGCACTTATTATACTTCACTGGCATTTGTTTATTTGTCTCTTCCCACTGTCATCCCAGCAGCAGACTTTGAGTCCAACTATTTTTTCCCCCCAATGCATCCTGAGGAGTCTCAGTAAAAGATGAATTTTTTTCTTCTTAAATGTAGTATCACTTAATCCACTTGATTAAAGTTACAGCCTCTGTAAATTCTTGAAATTAAGTAGACATGTAGACAAAAAATATGTTTGTGAAATCTCAGGAGTTAGTTTCAACATAAGGACCCAAATCTTGACATTACCTAGGCATTCAGAATTCTATCTTTCAGGCTAGCTTGTGACCATCTACTAATCTGAAAATATCTTTAACATCTTTCTTCTTTTTAATCTCTAGATATTTCTCAAGAAGAATGACATTCAAGTTTGAATAGAAGATTCAACTGAATGACAGTCTCTTTCATTTAGTTGAGGGTTTTTTACTTTAAAATTTCTGACAGGTTTTCATGACAGCCCTCTAATGGAAGCTTAAATTCATTTGTCATAGCTGACTAATCTGAAAATATCTTTAACATCTTTCTTCTTTTTAATCTCTAGATATTTCTCAAGAAGAATGACATTCAAGTTTGAATAGAAGATTCAACTGAATGACAGTCTCTTTCATTTAGTTGAGGGTTTTTTACTTTAAAATTTCTGACAGGTTTTCATGACAGCCCTCTAATGGAAGCTTAAATTCACTTGTCATAGCTGTTAAGGACCTGTGTGTGTGTGTGTGTGTGTGTGTATTTCTGTGATCTGACCCTTCCATTTATTATTGTTGATACTAACCTTAAAAGTATAAAAAAGAATATAGATGAGCCTTTATTTTTGAAGGCTTGCTGCAATTCAGCCTTGGAAGTCAAATCTCTGTAGGATTTTCCTCTTAAGAAAATCATCATCATAATGTGGCAAAATCTTGCTAATTTTCACTTCATAATTAATTCTCAGGAGAACAAGAGCACCTGGTAGATTTTATTCACTATCAGCAAAGATTTTGTAGCAGGAAATGGTGATAAGATTTTTTTTATATCAAAAAGCATTAAAATAGATAAGCTCAAGATAGCAACATAGTAATACTATCTTGATTATGTTTTATTTACAATCTGTTTTAATATTTATGTTTCAATACTAAATTCATTAATAAAATAATACACTAAGATTATAGTAGATAGCGTTTATCTAGAGGTACAGATATGAAGAGTTTTCTGCTTTTCACAGAAGAAAGCCAAGATTCATCATTTTGTGTAATATTATCCAGTTTTAGTTATTTGTCCTGGGGCCTGAGTGCAAGGTAACAAGGAGAGAATATGTATGTAAAAATTATTATTCAGAATTGTAAATTAAATTTCATTGCATGATAATGCTATTAATTTTTTTGAGACAATTCCTCTTCAAATCTACTCATTTATTAATCATCTCAAGATCCAATCCCATATTCAACAAATAACTACATATGCACTTTGAGAGACATGATTTTTGTGTATTATATTGGGAGCATAGATTTCTCCCTTTTACTACAACAAGGCTACTTTAGGGATATCCTCACAACGTGCAGCTCTTTTTATTAGATTCCAGTTCAGAGGTTCTTATCCTCAGCCTTAAATGGATGATGATATTGTTAAAATTTAATATCAAGCATGTCTTTTGGTTTAAATAAATAACTAATATTAAAATTATTACCTCAAAATCTTTAAATAGATGTTAATGCTTAAAAACAGCAGTCAAAGTTTTAAGGTGGAAATAATTGTATGTGTGTCTATATTTTCTTTTAAAATCTCAAATATCTAGACAAATTATGTTAAGTAGCCAAGTTTAGTATATTTTGGTTTCTTTGTATAAATTATGCTAATTTTTACCTGTTACTTCTTGTGGAATGACTGTAGTATTCAAGTAGCATTTAAGTACAAAAGAGAATATTGATATAAAACATTGTCAATTTAATTTTATTCAACATGATAATGTTTTATATATTATATGTGGTCATTATAGGCATGTAACTAATTTTGAATTACCATTTCTAGTAGGTAGAATTGTGATCTTTTAGAATGGATGTGCAATTATTAGTGGTTATTGTTTAATGAAATCTCTTTGAAGATCCTTTATTTTGGGGTATAAGTAATTTTCGTTTATAGTATACTCACATATATATTTCAAGTCTCACTTCCTTATAAAGATAAAGATGTGGTCATTCTTAAAAAGAAATAACTAACTATTTTAGGAAGACAGTAAAAAATTAGGAATTATTTGTTGACACACTGTACTTTTTAGAACAAAAACACTAATCTGGTCAACTAACCTTTAAAAGAAAGTGCAAAGTCAGAGATGTCACTTCGTTGCAGTAAATATTCACTGGCAAAGTTTTTATATCAAAGATTGGAACTTTAGGAGATGCTCCTGGGATTTAGTGTACTCAAAAATCTATTAAACCCTGATACCTTAGGTGACTTGTCAAAGAAGTGCTGCATTTACAAGGAGTTTGCAAGGAGGCCCAAGAGGGTATATTCAGCTAAAGGTCAAGGAAGCAATTAATGTTCTCTGCTTTTCCCTAAAGAACTTCCACAGCAAACATTGCACCCGCCCCACCTCATCTTAGCAAGGCAAGTGAATATAGTGAAATGAAAGTTAAAGTTAAAATAAAACATATTACTAATATTATTTGGTTCTTATAGCTCTTCCTGAATGTGAATGTGAATGCGAAATATATTAGAAGAGGGGCTCTTGCTGAAGAATATCAATTTTTCATCTCTTTGTTTTCTCTGCTCTCGGCCAAGAGTCCATCGATGTTTGTGGTCCTGGTGGAGTGGGATGGTAGATTGGGCCCTTCCTGTGGCGTGTAGTGAAGTTGGAATTCTTTTGGGGAATATTTGATTTTGTATGGATCCTAAGCAGGACTCTATTAAGGGGTTACATAATTTAGGACAGGAAATCATCTATGTCTTTCACAGGTTGACATGGTGTTCCTTCTTTTGTGTTTCATTGTGCTTTCCTTTCACCTCCATTTTAACAGTTGCCATATAACATTGCATTGTCCATTTGTCTGTCTCTCTCTGCACATCTGTCAGGTTCACCAGCACAAGGACTGTATCCTTGAATTTTTTCATTTTCAGTCACTAGACAGTGGGTAGGAATTAGTAAGTACTAAGTGAATACTTGTTGAATGAATAAATGAATGCATATCTTAGCTTGTCATTTGAAACACTTCTCTCCAGCCTACTGAGGAATCTTACTCCCCATTCCTTCCTTCCCTTCCAAAGTCTGATATTTCTTTCTCTCCACTACTGGCTTCCTTTTGTCTACTTTTATTTACTTTCTCTCCTACATTTCCTTAGCACAGTGGTTGGCAAACAGCGGCTCGCGAGCCACATGCGGCTCTTTGGCCCCTTGAGTGTGGCTCTTCCACAAAATACCGACTTCTGCACATGGGCCACGAAGTTTCAATCACACTGTACGTGCACGCCTGCACGTGGTATTTTGTGGAAGAGCCACACTCAAGGGGCCAAAGAACCACATGTGGCTTGCGAGCCGCAGTTTGCCGACCACTGCCTTAGCACATTGTATCTCTATGATAGCACTTCTCCACATGATGTCATGTAGTTCTTTTATGGAGTCATAGAAATTTAGTTGTACAGTGGCCTAGTCCAGCTAGACCAAACATCAACCTGGTGTATCCCTAATATCTAGAAAGAATAGTCTTCTGGTTTCTGTTCGATAGCTTCTGGTGACTAATTACTTACTACCTTTTGAGGCGAGCCCTTTTGTTTTAGAAAAGGTGTGATCGTTAGAAAAATGTTAAAAATCTGCTTTATTGTAATTATTTCCCTTGGGTTCATATTCTGCTCTCTGAGAACATCACACACACACACACACACACACACACCAATCTCTTCTATTTGCTGCACCTTCAAATTTGTGATAACTCTTGTGTTCCCTCGATTGTTTCTTCTTTCTGATGAAAATGCTGATCTTCCAAAACTGCCTTCATAGGGCTGAGGGTCAACAGTCCTCACCTCCCAGTTGCTGCAGTTTTCAGTGGCCCTCTAAACTGGGGCTTTCCAAACTGAATATGGGGCTACAAATATGACCTGAGCACTTTCAAATAGAACAGAGTTCTATACATCCCTTGTTTTAAAATTATATTGTTAATAAGGTCTGGTTATTTAGCTTTGTTGATAGTTGTATTTTTATTTTTGTCTCATATTGAGCTTGTGGTCAATTAAATGTATATATCTTTTCCCCTCCATAAATAAGTCATCCTGAATGTGGACTTTATATTTGTCTTTATCAAATTTCATATGAAGTCCAATCCACTGCTATAGCCCATCAAGATTTTGTTTCACATTCAGTTTTCTACTATAATTCCCCATTACACATATCATTTGAATATTTGATCACACTGTTATCATCAGTCAAACCAGTAACAAAAATGTTAATCAGAGCAAAGCTGCAAACACCCATTTATTAGAAAGGTGGGAGCCAAAGCCAAGTACGTAAGGGGGTATTGTGGAAAAACGAACTTACATCCAATTCTTCATGGGGTTGGCATGAGGTACCTCATGTATTACTGAAGTTCAGACAGTTGTGTCTATGAATTTGTACTTTTTCCCGAGGGCAGAACCATGTCTGTCTGGCTAACAGCTGTCTTCCATCATCTAGCTCAGTGCCTGGCACATAGCAGGCCTTCAATACATATGGTTTTGTTGAAAAAGTAAATGGAACAACCGAGGAACAAATGTTCTGGCTTAAGGTTTTGTTTGTTTGTTTGTTTTTTGTGGCTTAAATTTTTAAAATGAATCTTTTCTGCCTATCTCTTTCTCTTTTAAAGAATTACAAACTTGTTCCTTTTAGTCTTTATTGTTCTTTAGTCTTTATTTGCCACCTTCTCTTCTGAGGAGAATTAAGCCTGGATTCATTAGTGTTGAGGTCAGGGAAGTGGCAAAGAACAAAGACAAGACTTGAAGGACCAGGGATTGGTGTAAGAAAGAAATAGTTTCTCTATGAATTCAAATCTTATGTTAGATAGGTTAAACCTAAGACACACTTTCTTTATGAAGCCATCCCTGAGTAACCTCCACCACAGTGATTTCCCCTTTTTTATTTAACTGTAGAATCCACCCCCCCCAGCATTATTGCAGTATAATTGTATATATTTAAGAGGTACAACTTGTTTTACACATTGGGAAATGAATACCATAATCAAACTAGCATATCCATCACCTCACAGTTAACATTTTCTTGTGTGTGTGTGTGGTGAGAATACTAAAGGTCTACTCTCAGTAAATTTTAAGTATTTAATACCTTATTATTAACTATAGTTACCATGCTAAACATTAGATATCCAGAACTTATTCATCTTGTGTAACCAAGATTTTGTACCCTTTGATCAGCATCTCCTCATTTTTCCCACCTCCCAGGCCCTGCCCATTCTACTCTCTGCTTCTATGAGTGACTATGGAATTTTCAGTTGTACAATTCCATATCGCGCAATCAATTATTTTTTATTACATGCTGATCTTATTTTATCATTTAGTTTTATAACCAAAATATCATAAAAGCTGTAACAACAATAATAATAACAATAATATGTTGAGCCACCTGTAATTGTAGACAAGGTGCTAAGTGCTTTGCATGCATCATCTTATTTCCAATCTCCCAACACTTTTTGATGTATGTTTTTCTATATTTCCCATTTTACAAATAAGAAATTGGAGGCTTAGAGAGAGGTGTATATCTTGGTCCATAAATAGTTTGTAAATTCTTTGGGACTATTAAGTTCTTTTTAAATTACATCTTTTTAGTAGTTTAGTTTGGAACAACCAAAAAAGGAGCTCCTTTTTGGCTCCTTTATTTACAGGTTGTATGACTCTCTGAGTCCTAGTTTTTTATCTGTAAAAGTGCAAAGAATAATGCATATCTTATAAGGTTTGTTGCAAAAATTACATGAAATATAATATACAATGTATTTAACATGGGCTGACATGTGAAAAAAGTGCTCAGTAATTGGTAGTTAATGTTGCTAATTAACTTTGTGCAATGTTGTTGATGTTATAGTACCATGAGTTATGCCCCCCCCCAAAATAACATAAACATAAGTAATAATAAAATAGTACAAGAGAATATTGTTGGATGGTGTTAAATATTTTTTATCTAAATAAAGGCAAGTCATAAAGGATATGCATTACTGAAATAACTGAAAATGCATTATACAGCCAATGTGAATAGTTGGGTTCTTATATTCCATCACCAATATTTCTTTTGTCCTAGTTGAACATTGAGTTGCCTTAAAATATATTGCTTTTAAAAACTATATTAACATTTGTTTCACATAGCATTGCAGAAATGGACAGTGGTGATTTCAACTTCAGTGAAATCAGAAAGATGTTGCCATCCTGATGTATGGAATGTTAGCTTACATCATGAGTCATTTTCAAATAGTTTGTTTACCTTACTAGTACATTGCACCTAAAGTCAGTGAATATTCAAAAGTAACTTAGAATAAGTAGAAACATTGCATTTCCATCAGGCTTTCCTTTTTCATTATCTTACTAACACAACTGGAACAATTGCCTTTTTCTTTTCCTTTCAGGAGACAGAGAAGACAATGATGACAAGGAAGTGGTTGCAGAGATCATGGCAAGGTGTTTTTTTCCAGCTCTAGTAACGACTATCCCCTGGGAAGGATTTCATTTTGTTGGTCATGAGATTCGAATTACTGAAGCCATGGATTGTTATGGTGCTGTTGTTTGGCCATCGGTATAATTTCATACAAAATTTGTTACATTTCAATTATTTTCAGTCAGTTTTGTTCATTATTATGTACTATTTGGAAAAA